GGACAGCAGGTGCAAGTGGCTCCAGGCGGCAGGTGGGTGACTGCCATCGCTCCCTGCACCTACCTTGGGAGGTCCAGAGAGTCACAAAACTGTTGTCCTCTCAGGGGCCTCCCTTCTGACCACGACAGTCTCGTGACCCCCCCCACCCCCACCCCCAGCACTCAAGGCTGTGACCTCTGGCCTGAGCTAAGCTCTGCAGGGCTGTGTGTGAGCTTGGGTTGATCAGTGTGCCCCTATTTCTATGCCTTAAGAAAGGGATGTGACACTCACCCCTACAGCTGTACAGTTCTGTGTACACTCAGAGGGATGTAATTGGGATTTGACAACTTTGGCAGATGAGAATGTGCTTAGGAGATCCTGGGGTCCCAGTGCCACACAGAGACCCCGTCCAACCTGGGCAGGGGAGCCGAGTGAGGCATGGAGGGGCAGCGCATGGATGAAGGTGAGGGCAGAGGGCCTTTCTGATCTGTTGCCAAGCTTGGTCACTTCCTCTTCCTCCTTTTATATGTCATGCTGGCCCAGGGGCAGCCCCACCAGAAGGCGCCAAGAGCCCCTAGCCTGCCCCTCTGGGATCTGAGCTCTTTGAAGTGGCACAGTTGAGCCGATTCCAAGTGCTGGAGGAGGGCTGTGGGGTGGCCAGGGGAGGGTGGATTAGGGGCGGGTCACTCAGGGTCAAAGGCGGCAGAAGTCTTGCCTTCTCCCTTGCTGAGTAACCAGACCCAAGTCCTCCCCTCTCTGGTCTCAACGTAATCCACTACGAAGGCAGCTGGGTGGTGGGACACTCAGAGACCACGCCAGCTGTGAAGGGAGGGCTGGGCCCTTCTGAGACTAGAGGTGCCAAACAGTGACTTCTTGCTGGGAGAGGAGAAGCTGAGGGCTGAGCTTCTAGAACTCCTGGCTGACCCCAGTGCCCATGTTTGCTACCAAGTCTCAGGGCCAAGCTGCCCACCCAGGGTCCTGAACTGCAATAGGGCGCATTGACTATAATGGGGGGGTACAGATAGGGACCACGCAAACTTGACCTTGGGGTCTCTGCCACACACACTCACAAAGAAACAAATGTGTTTGATGGGGGGTAAAAACTTTACAAAGGAGAAACCAAGGTCACATCAGCAGTGGGGGCCCCCCAGAGCACACGTGACACACAGGATCACACACAGCACGCTCCACACACACTCGCAGCCCACACAGTCACATACACAGACACACGCACACACTCACACACATGAACAAAAGTGCGAGAACAACAAAGGAAGTGGAAGAAAAGTTACCCATGAGTAGCCGCCGCTTCACCCGCTTGTCCACATCAGCTACTGACGTGGCATTGAACTGAGAGCGCTCAATTGCAGCCTCATCCTTCTCTAAAACACAAGTAAGGGACAAACACGGAGCCGGAGGTTAATGAGCGCCCGCTCCCTGTGGCCCACGACAGCCGGCCTCTCGGCATGCCGGCGCAGCAGCGGCCTCGCCGAGGGGCTACTCCCAGGAGACTCCAAGGAGGGGGCTCAGGGCAGGAGGCGGGCGGGAAGGAGAGGGGACCACGACATGAGCCGGACACAGGTGGGAACAGGCCAAGCTGCACACAGAGGAGGAGCCGGAGGTCACAGCGGACCTGGCTCGAGCTGCTGGGGGCCAGAGAAGCAGCATGGTTCAGGCTGGAGAGGTAGCACAGGACAAGGAGACAGGCCACGAGGTCCGGTGATGGAGGCACCCTGTCACAAGGACGCTGTCAAACACTCATGCAAAATTAAGAACAGAACACAGAGAGGAGCGAACCCACGACGGGGTGGCCGGGGTCGCTTGGGGCAGCGCTGGTTGCCTGCTTGTCGATGGAGGGCTGGGCTACGCATTCAGTGGGGCTGCTTGGAGGCTGGGTGGTCCGAGGGGTGAGCAAGAGGGGAAGGGGCATGCTGGCGGGCGGGAGCCGGGCCAGGATGCATCCCACGGGGGCACGGGGTGGGTGTTAGCTAGCTCCAGTTCCTCTGCTCAGTCAGACATTTGCTCCTGAGGGATTTGCTGGCCACTGAGCAAAGCCGGATGAAAGTGTCCTCATCCGGGCCGGGAGTGGGGCACGGGAAACGGTGCTCAGGGAGGGGACAGAGGGGCGTGGGTGTTACTTCAGAAAGCAGATCCAAGTCAGGGCCATCACATGCAGCAGGCATTAAAAAAGAAAAGGAATAAAGAGAACGAGGCAGGTGGACGAAGACAAGGCAGTTAGACAGAGGGCCGGCGCGGGCACGGCCTGGCGGCTGTTTGCACTGTCCGCGGTGGGCAGAGCCCCATCGGTGACGGTGCAAACGCTGAGGACAGACTTGAGGGACGCAGACAGGGGGAGGCCAGGGGGAGGCCTGGAGGCCTCTGGGCAGGACAGTGGAAGGAGAGAGGTGGGAGGAGAAGGTTCTAGATGGGATCAGGCTGCAATAGAGACACTGGTCTGAGACCAGGTTCTACTTTTAATTTGGGTGGCTGGTTGGCTTTGGCTCTGGAAATGACTACTGAGCATCAGGTATCAGACAAGACAGGCAATCAGGGGCCATCACCAGAGAAGCGGAGGAATGAGATCAAATGGAAAAAAAACCCAACCAAACAAAAACGGCTGTCTGAGAGAAGAGACCACACTGAGGAGGGGAGGCCCACCCGGGACGCCGGGCCCACCCCAGCCCAGGGTCCCCCAGCTCTGTCTGACAGCGGGGACAGGACGGTGCCAGCACGGGGCGTCCCGGGCTGCTCGGACGTGGCGTGCAGATCGGCTCCTTCCCTGCACGCCACGCCTCGGGAGAGGCCTCCAGTCCACAGGAAGCGGGCTTGGGATTGGGCTCGTTTTTTTTTTTAAAAACAAATAAGCATGATAGCAGACTTGCTTTGGGTTTCAAAAGTTTGCCAACATGAAAGAGAGAAAGGAAGGTGAATTTTGGACACTCATTTTGAAATTCCTCTCAATACCAGTTGAACAAAATGACTGGCACTTTTGAGCGTGACTGGTGACTTTTGAGCCCACTGGTGACTGAGGCAATCTTCGCAGCCCTCCACGCTTCACCTGTGGACGCTGAGACTGGCTTTGAGGCTTTGTGTCACTGGGAAGTGACGGGTGTGTGTGTGTGGGGCCCTGGGAGGAATGGCTGGCCGTTGGGTGTGAGCGTTCTGGTCCCATTTCCCATTGGCTGGGGGGTCATTAAGCATCTTCCCTGGGCTTCAGCGTAACAAAGTGCAATGAGTGCTGAGAAATCTCCCAGCTTCTCTGGACCACTGAGGGCATCCCCCTGCCTGGCTGGGTGCTTTCTGTCATAGGAAAGGGACCCTTCCCCTTCAGGAGCAGAGAAACCCTCCCTCTGCAGGGACACAACCCTGCTTCCTCCCCAAGGGTTCTTCTGGGACACTCCGGTGACAACTTGATGCGGATGAGCCCGCCTCTAAGTGACCTAGTCTCCACAGAGTGCCTCCCCTGGGGGGCTGCCACCCCATCACTTCTGGGGGCACTCTTTTTCTCGCTCTTTGGAGAACAGGACATGGGTATTGGCTTGGAGGCCCTCGTGACGTCCCTGCAGGGGAGGACTCGGGGTGGCATGTGGCCCAGGCGCCTACTCACCGATGCAGGTCCGGCCGTCCGCGTGGAGGGCGTACTTCTGGTGGCAGCCACACGTGGGGCCCGTGTCGGTGTCCTCACAGGTGTGCTGGCAGCCTCCGTTTCCATAGTTACAGGTCACTAGTGGGGCCCCCGCATGTACAGCCACGTGTATAAACAGAACAACAACACAACGGTTAGTTTGTCAGAGGTGGTGGGCTCTTTCTGGGGCCATGGAGGGAAGTGAGGCCTGGACAGTGGATGGAACTGTCCTCAGAGGTGACCCGGGATGGGACAGCGGGGCCGGAGCCCTCTAGTTCACGCGAGGCTGGGTGACTTCTGAATGAGACGCTCTTGTCTATCTCAAAGGCAAAGGTCTGCGGCTGCCAGGACAGACTAAGGGGAAACGGTGACAGCGGACAGGTCCCTCCAGTTCTCATGAGCTTCTTCCTTCTTCAGCTCTGTCTTAGGATGTCCCAGGGACATGTCCACACTATGCTTCCCAGTGACCCCTCAAAGTATCCCCTGCAAGCCCCGATGCTGCTTGCTCCATGATGTTCACACAAACCAGGCAAAGGGGGACCCACTCTAGAATGCCAACATTAACCCAGGCCAATGGGTGCCTGTTCCACAATGTCCGCACAGACCCCTGCTGAGGAGTGCCCGCTCCAAGATGCCCACACAGACCCAGGCCCAGGGGTGCCCATTCCACAATGTCCACAGACCCCAGCCAAGGAGTGCCCGCTCAAAAATGCCCACACAGACCCAGGCCCAGGGGTGCCCATTCCACAATGTCCATAGACCCCAGCCAAGGAGTGCCCGCTCCACAATGTCCACACAGACCCAGGCCAAGCAGTGCCTGCTCCACAAAGCCCACACACAGACCCAGGCCAAGGGGTGCTTGCTTCACGACATCCACACATACACTCTGACTAAGGGGTGCTGTGTGAGGGTAGTTTCAAATGTCCTGGAATGTGCCATGTGGTTTTTCACGTCCACGGCCTGAGAGAAGCAGAACCTTTCAGTCCAGAGTCTCAAAGCCATCGGAGACATGGATCCGCTGGATAGGCGGAGTCTGGTGCAGAAATGACTCATTCAGGTTGACGTCAGAGACACATTTCTGGGGTGAGGCCCACAGGCCGTGATGAGCAGGTGTTCTAGATCTCTCTCAGCACCGGCTTCTCTACACTGGGAGGGAGGACCACAGCCGGTCACAGGCGAGGACACGCCAGGCCTGTGGTAGCATCTTCCCGGATGCTTTAACCATCCATCCTGATCACCGCTGGAGCCCTGAACTTGGTAAAACTTAGGGGTGACCAGACACATAAATGTGGTTTTAGAGGTGTCGTGTCAGACGGACAGGCATCCTGACTGAGGTCCATGTGAAGAACGTGTCATCAGACTATTCCTCAAGGGGTAATTCCTTTCACCCAAAGAATGAGCCCAGGGCTCTGGAGGGGTGCCGGCCCAAGTGCTGGTGGAGTCCCACCACGTGCAACTGCCGTATCAGATGAGAGGGTCTGCTCCGTGCTCCAGCTTCTAACCTCTAATCCCGGGGATAAGTGCTTGGCCACTAACGTAGAGGTCGGAAGTTTAAACCCTCCAGCCGGGAGAAAATCGAGGCGGTCCCGGGCAAACCCAGGGGGCAGCTCTGCTCTGTCCCACGGGCTGTGAGTTGGAATGGACCGCATGACAACATTTTCTCAGGGCGTCTCTCAGTGTTTACGGGTCCTGGGTAATGCAGTGATTAACCAGACGGCTGGTGGTCTGAACCTCCCACTCCACAGGAGGACGGGCTGGCTCCTGTGAGCTGCACTCGAAGCCTCAGGGGGCAGCTCCTGTGGGCAGGGTCTCACGGCGTCAGCAGACTTGAGGGCCAGGGGCTCTGGCTGCACGGTTCTGGAAACCCGAGCGGGACTCCCTCCCAGCACCCACTGGGCCCTCATCTCTGCTTTCCGTCTGCAGCTGAGCTCTGCCAGGAGCCCCGGTGTCAGGAAGTGGGGACACTGTTCTCTCGAGGCCCTGGTTACTGGAGATGACCGTGCCCACAGTGATAATGGAGAAGGAGGGGCCCCTCGGCCTCTGAGGAGGGTCTGCACGCAGGGTCTGCTCTGCTGGGCCCTGAGGGCACCGTGCACTACACCTTGTACCTGAGAGCCTTGAGTCCAGAGGACAGAGTCTGGGGCACCCCGAGATCCCGTGGGCGTGCAGAGGCTCCTCTCAGACCAGGCGGGGCCCTCAGGAGATGCTCTCTGAACAGGCCACGTCTTGGGAGCCCCATGCAGGTATAACAAGGAGACGACGGGGTGGGCGCTTCCAGGCCCTCCCTGTGCTGGGCGCAGGCCACTTTCCCTTGGCACTGAGCACGGTGACTTGGCCCACAAGCCGATGCTCAACCAACCATGTGAAATGAAGGGACCTCTTTTTCTTCTACCCAGGCTGCCCCGAGCTTGCCACCCTCTCATATTCTTGTCACTGGTCTTCTTCTCAAGGAATCTTGGATCACTTGGCTCAGAAGGATAGTGAGGGCTGGACGCATCACTTCCTGTTCTGAAAGCTGCCTGGGTGAGCATCCTGTGTCTGAGGGGACATGTGGACAGACGGGGGAGGGCCTGACTAGCAATCCCTAACTGAGGGTGCCTCTCTGGTGACAGCCTTTGTTGACAGCATACAGGCCCCTCCATGTTAATCCCTTAAACCAACCCCCACGCCACCCGCAGCTTTGGGAACTCTCTAACATCCGCAGAGAGTCAGGAATGAAGAGGCTGCTTCCAGTTCAGACAGGAACGGGGCAGAGAGAGCCCCTCTGTGGGGATGGACGATCCTGAGGCATTTGGGTCCTGGGCTGTTGGGGACCACGTGAGGAGAACATGCAGGCAATGATATGGTGAGATGTCCAAAGGACAGCTGAGAAAGCCCCAGCGACCAAGGGGCCACTTGCCTACTCCAGGGCAAGACCTGGTTGGCCCTGGCCCCCTCTGCTGACGTGAGGACCATGTTAGATTTTGTACGCTGGACCTGAGCTCTTCTGTCCACTGTCCGCTTTGAATAGCAAGCTTTGTGCGGTGGCATGCTCTGCTCAGAGATGACCGTGTCGGCAGCAGCCTTGTGTTGACCCCACCCGGTGTCTGCACTGCCCACCACCCCAGGCTGCTGTCAGACTCGTGTGTGTCTGTGGGGGGCAGCATGGGCCTGGAGCTTCGGAGAACAAGTGGAGAATCCAGCCACGGTCTGGCTGGTCCCTTGTCATGACTCCTCCCAAGAAGAGGGTGACTGTGAGGACAGAATGGCCACCAGGAAGATGACCTGTCCCCCAGCTCTCCCAGAACACCTCCAAGGACAGCCAGCTGTGACCCTCCATGGCCGAGTGCTGAGTTCTGGTCTCCAACCCAGCCCTCCCCCGGCAAGGACCCCGGACCAGTGGTGCCACTGCCCCTCCATCCCCTGAGAGCCTGAGCTTGGGACCTGTGCATTCTGACTCCTGCTTCTGATTGGGGAACAGAAATGGGTAGCCACAAGCACTGCAAGGGGAGACTATGTGGACATGATGCTGGGTGGGCAAGACCCTAAGCCCTGTCCCTTGTGCCCCCTCCATCTCCTCCCCAGCTTTGTCCTTCTCGCCAATCCAGCCCTCCCAGACTGGTGTCCAGGGACTTGATGGACCCCCCAAAAGCCACAGCCAGGGCAGCAGGGATGTGGACCCAGGGCCGCCTCTACCTACGTGCGCAGTCCTTCTGGTTTGGGGCGAGGTCGAAGCCAGGCCTGCAGTCGCAGGCCACCCCGCCTTTGGGTGTCTCCCGGCAGATGTGGGCGCAGCCGTGGTCTTTGTTCATGCAGTTCATGCCCTCTGTGAGAGACAAACAGGAGGGGTTGGGGCCAGGGCAGAGGGGTGGGTGCTTCCAGCGGACTGGGGGGGCCGTGGGGGTTCCCGGCACAGGGTGTACTCTCTGGAACATGACATGCTGTCTGCGTGGGGTTCCCTCAGCAAGGACTGGGGCATGGACCCAGCTCCATCTGGGAGTGTGTGGAAGGGACCCACCGAGGGAAAGGCCCAGCCTTGGTTCTGTGTGGAGTCCATGGGGGTGCTCACAGGCTCAGGCTCCCTGTGGGTGGGGCCAGCTGGTGAATGGCTCCCCAGGTTGCAGAGTGGCCCTGGTCCCCTCTCCTACAGGACAGGCACAGCCCCTCCCTCCCCTGGCCACCACCCCTCACAGGTACCCCATCAGCCTGCCTGTTCACAGGGTGACTGAGGAAAGGGGGTGAGTGACTGCTCTGAGCGGCCAGTAACTACAACCCCAGTGATGTCCCCATCTTGGTGTCCCCTGATCATTCTGCCCCATTTGCCTCCAGCTGCAGGCACTGTCACCCTGGAGCCGGGAGTCATCCTGGTGACATCCTTCCTGCAGTGCATGGGAGTGTGTCTGCACTCCCCACCTCCTCTAGTGACACCTCTGGTCTGAGGGCGTCCTCCACTCAGGCCTTTGTGCGCGGTGCCAAGAGCGGGGGTGGCCCTGGGCTCTGAGCGACGGCGGCGCATGGCACTTCTCAGTGTATAGAGGAGGGGCAGGGCAGAGGTCTCAGCAAGTGATTGCTTCCAGGTCATTCTTGAGGGCATGCCAGCCCCACTCCTTTTGTCCCTGTGTATGCACACCAGCTGGAGGCCCACACAGGTGGCCTCGGCTGTCACCAGCTGCAGGCACCTGGAACCACCGCACGCATGGCTGGGCAGCCCCATCCCAGCCTGCTATCTCTAACTCATAGCTGCTCTTGGGCTCCACAGAACCTCCCCTCTGCGCTCTGCTGGGCAGCTGGGCCTGCTGGCCTCACCAGCCTCCTCGACCTCCGATGCCCGCCCTTTCTGCTGGTCCAGCCCACCCCAGCCCTAGTCAGGCTCACACGTATGCTGAGGACACGACTCCCACACACAGTTCCCACGCCGCAGCGCTAGGCCCCTCTCGGCCTCCTCCTACAGGGCCAGCCAGCGATCCCTGGCTCCCCTGAGTGCAGCGCTGGGGGAGACCCACCCTAGCTCACCTGCCCAGCAGAGGGCTGCTCCCCGCTTATGGGGAGGGGGGCTTTCCCCAGCATCTTTCCAGCGTGTTTTCAGGGATTCATGCTCATCGTCTCCTCCCCCACTCCCCCAAGGCTCCAAGAAGTTTCTACAGTTGTGTCAGAACTTGACAGTGACAACGTCTGTGCTGGGGACACTCTACCCTTGGCCCTGGTGATGGCAGGTTTCGTCAGTGACTGCCCTCAGGTGAGGAAATGCAAAGGCTTGAACCAGGGCCTCTGACTACAGACTCCTGTCCCTCTTGTCCCCAGAGGCCTTGCTGTCACAGGCTGGGATGCTTGCAGGGGAGGAGGCCGCCCACCTGGACAACAGTCTCCAGGCCCCTCTGGCTGGGCTCCACCCAGGCTCAGGGTGCACTCGGCTGGGATGCAGCTGGGAAGGCAGGGAACTCGAAGGTCCCTGTGGCAACCCGTGGCCCCTCACTGTCCTCCCTCCCTCGTGGCTTTGGAGGTATGCCCTCTCTCTCACACCCTGGCTGACCAGAAACCCTCACGAGCTGACCAGAACCCCCTCCTTGACAGCCTGCAGCGACTCAGACTCCTTAGAGGACCTTGGAGGATGTTTGTCTTCTTGGTCATTTGTTTCCAGAATTTATGAGGTCAGGGGTCAAGCACGAGGGGGCAGGTCACAAGCCCATCAAGAGGGCAAAGGCCAATGAAAGGGAAGAGCCTGGTCTTCCACTCTGCTGGCCTGTGACCTTGTCCCACCTCCCTCTGGCCAGGACTAGAGGACTGGAGGACTGGAAGCCATGGTCAGGCGCCTCCTGTCCCCAGTGGTGTCCTTGCCTCTCACCCAGCAATCCTGACTCCATCAACGTCACCCACGGCCTTGGGCAACACCAAAAACTGAAACCGCCATGGAACCCTCACGCTCTCCGTGGGAAGGAGGTGCCAGGCAGGACAGTGTCAGGGACGCAGCAGGGGCACAATCACCTATACAGTGTCCGTGAGGGACTAGCTTCTGAAGGTTGGCGCCCTGGCTGGGCTGGAGAGCTGCCCACGTGAACTCTCGAGCAGCCAGCCAGATCTGCCCCGCATTGGTCCTGGGGGCATGGGAACGGCCAGTAGGTGCTGGCTACCAAGCAGCCTGACTGCATATACACATAAATGCACACACATGAACACACATGCAGACCGAGGCTTGGCCATGCGGTCCTCCTCATGCCTGGACTGCTGTGATCGAGCAGGTTTTCACTAGTCCAGCACCAGGCCTTTCTTCCTGGTCCATCTGTCTGGAGATACTGGTCAGCGTCCCAGCACCACGTAAATCACTGCTGACAGACGGGTGGAGGCAGAATCTGGGATGCACCAGCTGGGAACTGAGCTCAGGGACTAACACTGACCACCACCGGCCTCTCCCTGACCACATGGACACTGTCATCAGAGGTGAGCTCTGAGCCCAGGGCCATGCCTCAGCCTTCCTCCTGGGGCTCTCTGATAATGACAGAACACACAGGGACCAGTGCTCCCTCCCTCTTCCCGGCTTTGCCTCCTGCCCCCTCCAACGCCGACACTGTGGGCACACTGACCACATCCTGAAGATGTCCCTTCCTTCCCCACTCACTTCTCCTTCTTCCTGGCACACCTGTTGTCCTCCATAAACAAAATCAGAGCAGGCCTGTCTCAAACTTCCTAACCCCTGGGTTGTACCCCAACATCCCCCCACACCACTCCCTGGTGCACTTGTTCAGGGCTGACCGGTGCTGGCACAGGAAAGCGTGTGGACCTGCAAACCCACTGTGTCTGGGCAGAGTCTACAGTCCAGGGTAGCTCAGGCCTGAGCTTCCACCTGGGCGGAGAGTCACAGCTCCCTGCGACCACTGCCAACCGCCGAGCCGGCACTGGGAGAGGACATGGTCCCGGACCGTGGTGACCAGAGCGAGCACTGAGCTGTCAGCAGCACTCGCTTTCTCACAAACCAGGAACTTGCTGCTGGGTGACTGTGATTTGTGAAAACCTAGATTTTAATGATAATTAATCAAGCAATGAATGACTGATTTCCCTCTCTGAACAAAGAAGGGGAAGAAAAGCAAAGATGTGCTGTCAAGATTAATTCAAAGGACACCTGGACCTTGTGACTCTCGACTGGTCAGACCCTGAGGCCAGAGAAGATGGATAGTGCCCGGCTACAAGTCTACAAGGCAAGATTCTGGACAGACTAGGGGAGAATGTAATAAAATGTACAAAAAAATAAAGAAAAAAGGCCAGGCTTAGTGTTCTAACAGAGGCTGGTGCAACCCCCGAGGCGACTGTCCTTAGTTACCTAGAGAAGCTGGAATAAAACTTGCTGCCCTTCCCATCTCAACTGCCAGTCAAGCAACAGAAAGACCTCCAAGGAGAACGAGGCACCAGGCAGGGGGGCCGCCCTCCCAACCAGCCAGCCAGGTAAGGCCAATGGAGCAGCATTCAGGGAAAGCCCTGAACACAGGAAGGGCTGGGACCGGGGAGCAACGGAGATGACAGGTACAGGCAAGAGTCAGAAGTGTCAGCACATCGGTAAGCAAGAAAAGGAAAGCAGTAAGGAGCTGCACTCTACCTCAAAGGCAGAGCTTCTGAAGGTTCGAACCCACTGGTGCTGTGGGAGGAAGACGGACAGTGTTTTCCTGTGTGATTTGCTCTGAAAACCTGCTAGAGTCAGGTCTGGGTTGGCTCTGGAGGCCTAGAGGCCAAGCCCTCCACTAACCGAGCAATCTTTCCTCTGTCCAGTCCTGACAGGTGCCTCAGGAAGCCGCTGTGACCTGTGGACTCAGTCTCCACAGAGCTCTGGGGTCCTCCCACTCGGGACATGACTCCCCATTCACTCCTGGGCCACCTTGTCAGAGACTGCAGCCCCCCGAGGGCGGGCACTGTGCCCGGGGTAGAGACCGGAGCTCATCAAACGTGTGCGGAGTGAACAGGCAGAAGGCCCACAGCCAAGGGCGGTGCCAGTCCCAGTGGGCAGAAGACGGAACCACCTCACAGCGTGGTCACCTCTGCCAGGACTCCCCTCTCTGGTCTTGATGTTCTCAGCTGTGAAATGGGGCTGTGCTTGAACTCCCAGAGTTATGGTGAAGCTGAGATGGACTGTGTGCAGGTCTGAAGGACATCTGCTCTTAGCCAGCATCTGAGTGGACATCTGGTGTCCACCCTCCTCTTCCTTCTGTGTCCCTCAGGGGACCCATGTGGACCCTTCTAACCACAGAGCACTTGTGAGAAGTATGTTTCTTTTTTCTTTTTTTTTTTTTGCATCAAAAGTATCCAGCAAAAGTGAGGCACATAGTCAGGGTTTAGCCAATGGAGACAGGAAGGGAGGGGAGATGGAGGGAGGGAAAAGGGAAGGAGGGAAGGAGTGAAGGAGGGAGGGAGAAGGAAGGTGAGAGAGACAGAGTCCAGAGCAAGGAAGAAAGAGGAAAAGGCCTGCAGGCTCTTCAGCCCGAGGACAGATCGAACTCATGGGTTGTTATTTTGGGAACAAATCAAGAGGGTTTGTTTGTTTTTTTTGTTTTGTTTTTAATTTTTATTTTATTATTTTTGTGTGAGTGTACCATCAAATCAGATCTGACTGGTACAGGAGGAGATTGTCCCTCCTTCTCCAGCAGAGCATCTGGTGGATTTGAACCGTGAGCCTGTGGGATTGTAGTTGCAGCTCTAGGTCACCAGAGCTCCCCCCTCAAGAGGGTTTTGAACACCTGACTTGTGGTGCTGAAGAACAAGCAGCCTTGTCCTGGAGGACGTGTGGGGAATGCGCTCCTCTGACGCAAGGGTGAGGACAGTGCCACGCCCTGGACACACTAGCAG